GTTTGCAGTAGGTTGAAAAGTATTAAGCCCATTTCTTTCTGCTTTATGGCCTCTCAGTTTAAGTGAATTTTAGTAGTAATTTAGTAGAAATGAACCTACACAAAATATTCCAATGTAATGAATTTAATTCTGGAAATAAATAAAAGCTTGTTTCATTAATTCAACAAAAAACTGTGCATGTACATGTATATTTGCTTTGAAGCYACAGCCAATACCTTCARAAACCACATAATTAGTTTAAAAACAYCCATGTGTTTCCATCAAAGTGTAAACATYATCTCAGTGTATATAGACCTGTTCATGCAAACTCTACCCAGAAAGGTCCCCGRGCTGGGGTTTGATCCAGCGACCTTCTTGCTGAGAAGCAACATATTACGTAGTAAAAACTACCATCAAGATTATAAAAACTATTTCAAATCCTGAGCAATGGAGCATTTTTAAATTTATTATTAGAAAATGAAAAAAGAAGATGCCTCTTTAGTGAATCTGCTAAGAGAGGGTCATCCATCAAAACTCAGAAACAGTGCAAAGAGGGCATTAATCAGAAAAACCTCCACGAGTGCAAATATAAACTCTGATGGAGCTGAGCAGCTTTTCTGCAGAGGTGGATGTCTCTGTCTGGACTATTATAAACTTCAAGCAGGTGGCAGGAATAACTCACTCGTACAGAAAATAAGATTGACATTTTGGAGTTTTCCAGAAAGCATATTGGAGCCTTGAAGCGAGGAGAACCAKTTAAATGTCCTGGAATGGCCCTATCAAACCCAGACCTCAATCCAGTTGAGAATCTCTAATATGTAAAGACACCCGCTTCAACCTGAAGGAGCTGAAACAGTTTAGTCATGAAGAATGGACAAAAACTTCCAGTGGTTAGATGTGCTGAGCCTGTGGAAAAGTAACCAAAGAAACTAACAAGATGTTGGGTATATGCATTCAACACTACTCAGTTTTTATATTTTAGAAATATTTAAATACCCCCCAACCTCAGCTTAACTTCATAACTACAATATTTTTGTAAAATCCTTAGAACCAAACTGAAAAAATTCATTTAATTTGCAGGTTGCGAAGCAAAAAATAAAAATAAAAAGAAATACCAAAGAAGGTGAATACTTCACACCTCAGTGTATATCTAATCGTTTATCCCAAACAGTCCTCTGCACCTTTAGCTGCAGTCTGGCAAAARTAGAAAGAGCAGACATGTGATACCAAGGTTTGTAAAGAGCAATGTTGTGACTTGGTACATGTTGGCCTACATGTGTCACTGCACCTCCTTATATCACAGCAACCCGGCTGTGGAATTAGAGCAAAGAGCAAGAATTTCATAAAGAAACTATTTCCACAGGGGTCACGGGAAAAGCCTCTTATTTACCAGCAGCTAAAAATGGTTGCAGAATTTGATCAGCTGATTAGCATCTCTTATTTCATTCTACATCAAAAACACTGAAGTCCCAATACATCATGTGTCTATTGATCAGAATCCCCCCAAGATGCTTCCAAGAGGCTCATTTTGGTCAAAATAAAGGATTTTGTTGAGTCATCAGGCTATAAATACTCAACACCATTTTATTAACTGTTCAGTTAGAATTTTGCCTTCATTTAAGTTGTTTTTGTTGATTTTTTTCAGTTGTTTTTAATGATAAAGTCATATCTGAGCCAGTTAAAAATGTGTTTATTTGTATGTGCAAAGTCTTCATGACTCATTGACCAGCAATAAATCATYCCGTTCAAAATAGAAAGTGCTTACTTTTACATTCAATAATAAATGCCTATTGATAAACCGTCAGCAATGATAAACAGTGTAAACAATCCACAGTGCAAACTAAAGGAAGTACCATACAGCAGACATGATCTGTGTAGTCATGGAAAAATTGCCCTGAATAACAACTTACATTACAAAACAACAGTTCATGTGATCAGTCAGTTCATCTTCGTAAACATCAAAGTCTTATAAACCTGGCCAGTTGATCAAGATTTAAAGATGCGGACTTGTGATGGAGAAGCTAACTCAGCAATCCACAAATATTTCTTCAAACTCTAATCTTTGAATCATGATGGTATTACAGCAATGTCCCTGCATTCTGCAGCATATTTAAAGGTAACGCACGAAGTCCATCGCTGAGCCACATCAACAAAGCATCCGTGGGTCACATCCTCACGTAACGTCCACATTTGGGCCTTCATCTTTTTGCATCCACGATGAAGCATTCCCTGCATCCTGCTGCAGGTTARACAGCTGTAGAGCGGCGGTCAAATTGGTGACTCCCAGCACTTCTGCGCTGTGGTCAGCCCTCTTTTAATTTGCTCATAGGTCACAAACATGACAATGTTCCAAGAGCCCATTCGTAGGAAAGAAGGCACAAACCTGAAAGAAAAGAAGGAAGGAAAGTGAAGAAGTGCTCCAAGGAAGAACGTTATTGTTTTGTTGTTTATTGTGGCTAATGTGTCTTTACCCTTTATAAAAAGCTGCGGGTCCTTCGTTTTTCAGCATCGTGAGTGCACAGTTGASGGCGCTGGTGTACTGACCATTTCCTGAGTTCATGAATCTTGTTTTAACCACATCCACAGGAGAAGCCACTATTGTTGTGCAGAAGCCAGCACTGAAGGCGGCTGTGAAGTGGCACGGCAGGTTGTCTGTGGGAGAACAGGATCACTTCATGAGATACTGTTCTGTCTTTGATAAGTGTTCTGCGTGAACATGTTTCCACTCCTCACCTGTCATCAGGTCATATTTCAGGATGAGTTCTTTGATTATGTCATAGGTGACCAGCTCTGCACAGTTCACAATGGCGTTGCGGGTTATGTTTGGCATGCAGCCTGAAAGAGAAWGAGGATGTTYGTCTTAAAATCTATGGAGACTTTTGTATAAAAYTGAAAAYTGATGTGAYGAGGCAACTACCTTTCCAAAGTCCCCGCACTCCCTCATCTCTTGCAATAGTCTTGTAGGCATCCAGGGTGCCATTGTACCTCTTCCCAACATCGGTCAGTCGTACCTGAGCTTGGAAACGCACCTTCACCACATCTGTCGGTTGTGCAAAAGCCACAGCCATGGCGCCTGTGGTACAGCCTGCCATGAGCCGAACAACAATCCCAGCATCTGTGCAACAAGGACGTTGGCGTCAGTGAGGAAGCAGAAGACCCTCATTCATGAGAGACGATGAATGTGTTAAACTCACTCTCGGTGCCTCGGGTGTAGAACTGCTTCATGGAGTCGTAGAGGCCGATCCGAACTGAGGCGAAGCTCATCTGTCTCTGGAGTCCTGCCACCAGCCCGTTGTAAAGACTCCTGGCTCCCTCGGTGCGTACCATGGTGGTGATGGTGCCGAACACTCCCCGGTACTTCACGGCATCGAAACCCTTAGCTTTCTGAGATTCGCCCTGAATCTGTTAAATACATTGAGATGCTTAGAAACCGTCACAAAAACAATCTACAACTAAATTTGGGAACCTCTTTAAAGCCGTTCTTCTAACCTGAAGCCTGACTTTGGCGGTATCCAGTGGAAATGTGATGAGGTCAGCGATGCAAGCTGCTGTGCCAGCCCCAAAGAACTTAATCCCCGCGGAGGGCATCATCATATCAGTCGGTTTGACAACCATTTTCACGTCTGGATTTAACGCACAAATAGAAAGATTTTCTCTTAATGATATTCGCTTTGGGGTAAAATACCCCACACCAAGGAAGTTACTTTCTCAGTGGCAACAGAAACTTATTGAGATGTTGTGCATACCTGTGAGAAACTATATTAACAGATATCAAGTTTTCTCAAGAAGCAGGTTGGTTTTTGGAAGAGGTTCTGTGGTGGAAATGCCTTCGGCCATAAACTTGATCTGAAGTGAGCCGGCCAGCGTAACACGTCTCACTGAAAAAGCAACAATATTTGCTGACTTTTCAACCACAGATTTTAATCAGAAGGTGATTTACACCACTTCAATTTACATTTCACATGTTTTGACATATTTGTTTAAATTGATGGAAAACTTAATGCCTACCTTAATCGTTTTCCGGAGAGTTATATTCCAGTAAAAAAGAAGCAGTTTGCAGTAATTTGTGTTATTTGTCCAGTGAGAATTCTTGACTGATGCTTCTCTCACTGTCTGACAGTGGAAGGAGCCCCTGAATTTATAGACCCCATTTGCACATGACTCACTGGCAGCCATTGAGTTGTTGACACCTGTGATTTGACTGTCGTGTACCAGTCTGTGACACAGAATGATATTTGAGCACTTGTTGACCTGTGCCTGCGTTGTCGTCATGCAGTTCTTGGAAGGCTGATCACTGATAAATGTTTCGAAAATTTAATGTCATTTTTGCTGCATTTTTTCCACTAACTTTTCACTTAATTGCACCATAATGCATGGATGTAATTTGTGTTTAAAACCAAAGTCTKGKCTTTACAGAAAATTTCCAGATTGACTGCCAGCATGTAGATCGCATTACGAGGACACAGAGTGTACCCCGTTGTTCTATTGGTTGATATATTCAGCCAAACAAACTGAGAGGTGTGTCTGATTCCTCTAAGTGTTCTCACGAGGCATTGGGCTGGCTGTTTGGACTATCATCATATGTACTTATCATTAAGTTTGTGCCCAAGAACCAATGTCAAGACTTCATCAGGGGTGCAAAGATCTCCTCCCTCCTCMCTGTGACCCACGTTATGAAACAGTGCCGGTTAAACGAGCAGCCCTTCTCCTTACCCAATCCATACCACGAACCACGGTGGGAGGATGCAAGCAGCGTCTGAGAGCAATCACTCAACAAACAAAAGAACAGGATGCCAAATAAAACGTTTTAGATGGAGAAGGAGTTTTAGAAATCTCTGTGGGTGCATGACTTTTTGAAGAAGCTACAGTTAATGATGCCGTTAAGATCATTTTATAAACCTCTGAGGCAGAGTTTTATTCCCCTAAACATATATATTTCATTTTAATACAAAAACCTCACTTTTGTTTTTGCATAATTCTGCTTCACTTGTTTGAAAATATATAAATAGCACTAGCAGCTAGCTGTGGTGTTTCCAGTAACAATTGAAGCACTTCCTGCAAAAAAAATCCCAACATTTCAGCTGGAATAAAGGTGAAACTGATGGTGATGAAAAGTTTATTAGTTAGTGTCTGAAACTTCTATGACTTTTTTCAGACTGATGTTTTAAGACTGATTCAACTTTTATCTGATACTTTCCCAATTAATTCATGATTGTTTATCCCTGGTCATTACAATGCCACTGATCCCATTCGTTTAATATGCATTGACAGCAAAAATCTTATAGGCGCCATTCAGCTCTTATTAAGATGAAATTCAGCTTGTGCAATTCAAAGAGTTTGATTTAGTACACTGAGATTCAGTGTAATATATTACAACTAAACAAAAGAATGGTCCTATGTCACTTACCGAGACTAATTATTTACGGCCTAATCAATAATTAGCAGCTTATAAACAGGTGTAGTTTTTAAATAACCAACCACTTTTATAAAACCTGACTCAGTTCATAAATAATACACCAACAATGCTTTGTGCAAAAATAATTACACCTCCCAGCTGCAGTCGTGTGAAATACTTTTCAGTAACTCAGCAGCGAGTAAAATGTGTATTTTCCACATCGTGAAATTTAAAACACAAGTTAACCCTTTTCTCCTGGAATATCGCTTTAAGCACATATTCAGAGTGCTTGTTTTCTGTTAACGCTGGTACTGCTGTAGTTTTCCTTGATGAAGAGTAAACAATACTACTAAACAGCAGGAAATGCAAYCAGAAGAGCTGTTCACTAGAAGAAATAAAGACTGTACACAGCTGCTCTAACAACACATCGGAGTACATTGCCGATCCCTACCTGGTACTCATTACATAAGTAAATATTGGATATGTAACTGGTTTTACCAGTTAAATTTCAGGTACTGGGTTATACTTTATAAAGCTATCAAAGACAATCATAAAATCATTACTAATGAGAAATTGTTTTATTTCATAACACTTGTCAATATGCTCACAGGGCTTTGAACTGAAAAACTCTTGCAGGATTGGTTTTATTTTTGAGTAAAACAAGAACAAAGAAGATCTGTCTCCTCTCACCTAGAAGGTCATCGATTTGCTTCCTGACTTGAGACCTTTTTGTGTGAAGTTTGCATATTCTTCTCATGCACCTGGGTTTTCTCTGGGTACTCCGGTTTCCCCCYACAGACAAAAAACATGCATGAYRATAAGTCTAAATTGTCCCTAAGTGTGAATAAGAACGAGGGGTTGTTTATGTGTCTCTGTAATGAACTTGTGACTTATCTGGGGTGTACCCATCCTCTCACACAGTGACTGCAGGGCACAAGGAAAATAAATAAATGGATGGACTTTGCTACAAAAGCGCTAATTTCTCATTGAAAGTTACAACATTTTGTCTGAGCGCCTCAGTTTGTTTTACAGCACAGAACCCCACTTCACAAACACAATRTCCCTTTAACCAAAATGTACAATTCAACAAACGAAGCATATAACAGAAATCAAGTTAAGTGAGAAGATTATTTACATTTAACAGATGTCTTTACATAAATGTTCCAGTTCTCTTAGCACTGCTATGAAAAGCAGAGGAAGGAGGAGCCACCATCTGCTCCCCTCGCCCGGAGCTGAAAACTGCTTGAGAACATCATGTGGTTAACCTTTGCACACACACTGTCTGGCTAGAATACACCTCACTGGGCCGGCTTCAACCAGTTTGCAGACAGCCCCCCCACCCCACCTGAAAACCAAAGTAAGCAATTAGACCCCTGTCACAGCTGTGTTCTCTCTCTCTCTGCCTTTTGAATACTGTGAACCTTGATTCATTGCTGTGAAACAGATCATTTCCATGACATAAATAGAGACCATAACAGTGCACCGCTAATAGAATCACCGCGTCACTGAAGGTTAGTGGGGCATAGTTCTTTGGCTGAGTATGGCTGTTTTCTTTCATCATGGACCCATTTGCCTCTGAACTTTTAAACATATATGGGGGACAAGAGACACTGAAGAAAAATAACTGCTTATAATTCTTGCCCAACACCATGAAAGGCAGGTGATAGTTGAATTTCATCTGATTCAAGATGGCTGCCAAAGCCATGTGACCTGAGCGCCACACAAAAATAGCTACAACTCCGTCAATTTTACAAATATTGAGCTAAATTTTGGTGGGGTCGTAGCTGAAATACAAACTTTGAGCGCTACCAAATCAAATCATACAAGGCAATAATTTCAACTTTTTTGGAGTTGATCTTGTCTGTCTGTTAGCAAAAAATCTTATGAACTAATGAATGTATTTTAATGAAACGCTAGGAAAGTAATGCTAATTGACTTTAGGAAACAAACTGGGTAAATCTCAATCAGTTTTGCAGCTATTAAACTTAATTTTGGTGTGGTGGTAGCTGAGAGTCATCCTCAACACAAACTCTGTTCTAAAAGCTCGAACAAGATCATTGTTGAAAACAGCATGCGAGTCCAAGCAGTTCCTCAAAGAATTGCTTATTTGAATTTGGTTGTGTCCATTTGAGCTACTGAAAATGATTCATCAACTGCGTGTTTATGTTGTATTTTCTAATATATAAAAAGTATATCTGAGTCATTTGTACTTTTATAAAAGCTTTTAGTGCCAGTGTAATTTCATCACAAGCATTTTTAGATGTTCTTTTTTTCCAGAACTTTAAGAAGTTCTTAAATGCACAATCCTTCATCGCACAAACAAAAAGCTGTTTCAACGAGAGACACCAGATGGTCCCACATACCAGGCATGACTCAGCAGTCAGCTAATTGTTTGTACTTGGCATTGGTTGATCTTTTCAAGGCTTTTATTTTAAACTGTCTGGCTCTGGAGGAAACAGAAAACAARTCCGAGCAGCCCAAACCGGCTTAGTATTTTCCAGGAATAGATTATTTCAAGAAGCAAACAGGATAGCAAATAWTTAGATAACAAGTCTCAAATTTGAATATTAAATGTACATATGAGCAAATTATAGAAAGAAATGATATACAATAAAACAAATAAATTGTGAAGGCATGTTCAAGAGTCATGTTCCAAAAGGTTCTGACTCTCTGGGAACAGTTACACCTGCTTATTAAAAAGAAAATGCTAATTGGAGGAGATAACTACAAATGGGGCTGTTAGGGTTACAGACTATTGAAAACTTGGTGTTATAATTTTTGAATTTGTAACTGAAGTCTAAAATTTGTATGGTTTTCTAGTATAAAGAAGGAGTCAGTGTAGATATTGCAAAACCAGAGAAATGTGATCTCTAGCTGAACTTGTAAGCATTCTGGGTGAACCGGAAGTTTTTCAGGGAACTGTTGGGACATTGAGCTAAAATGACACACAGCAGTAAAACCTGCACAAACCAGCTTTTCAGCATCACATTGGGACAGGATGTTTCAGAGTTTCAGGATGTAACACAAATATTAAACAGACGTTTAAGAAGATCTGTTCAGCGTGTGAATTAAAAAGCTGGCCTTGGTCATAAAAGTTTCACTGGAACACTGGAATCCAAGCCAATTGCAGCTGTAGGGCTGAACAGAAACGCCAAGATTTCAAGGCCAAAAACATTATAGTTTTACTTTATTTCAAAAGCAGAAAATAACAATCATTCATGTGTTTGTCTTCAGTTAATGCCTGTATAACTTCCGTTTCTATTTTTAAATAAGGTTTTACTGAAATGAGTATCATCAGCATGACTGTGAAAATGTATTTTGTCTAAAAATAAAAAAGTGTATAGAGAAAAGAATTGGACTTAGTCTCCAACCCTGTGGAACACCATAATTAATTATGTGAAGGACACATCGTTGATATGCAGAAATAAAAATGTATTTGTTAAATCTATTTAATCCTGATAATTATATCAAATATTTGCAATAAATGTTGGTGAGAATGATAATGTTTAATCACTTAGTAATCTAATTATTCTTCTGAATGGAACTTTTCACACATTTTGAAGCTCTGAAAATACCTGAGGTTTTATGTTTACAGGCTTTCAGTCACAAATTTAAATTCTGTGGTCAAAAGGTAAAATGCTCAAGACTGTGTGGGTTATTAAGAAATTTGGTAAAGTTCCCACAGAACCATTAAAAGACACCACACTCTTGTTTTTAGGTGCTGAGCTGCACCAAACAAAACGAATGAGCTGAATATGTGTAAGAAAAAGTATTAGAAATTGGCTTTAGTTGTCAGAATAGTGTTTACTACCACCACCTAGTGGTCAAAAACAAAACAGTACTTAGGAAAGGGTGGTCCTGAAATACTGACTGTTGTTATATTTTTACACAAATATAAACGGTGACTGTTTTATCTGATCAATAAAAATAAATGTTTATAATAGGTTGGGTCTAACAAAGTTCAACATATGTGTAAATGATTTAAAAAACCCAAATATTGACCAGGAGTGTTACCAAGAGGTAGGGGTAACAGGGGCCGATGGCCACCCCTAAAAGAAATGGTTTAAACCAGGACCYCCTCATAAAACTCATGATTAAAAATATTTTACTGACATTTCTACAGGCCATGAGAATAATTATATCAGTGTTATCTTTCCAAAATTGTATTCACATTTATTACAAAAAAGGATGTTACAGGCACTTTGAAGCTGTTCAAACATGAACAAAACATACCATTGTAGGCCTGATTTAAAAAAAAATAAGCAAAATCATTACTCATGAGAGAACGCATTGCCTGGCCACAAAGCTAAGGGGAAACCTGAGAGACATTTCAGAGAATTTCTTTAATGCAGATATTGTCTTGTGCAGTGTATTGTGTTTATGTTCAAACTCCAATATTTATTTATTTATTTATTTATTTATTTATTTATTTATTTATTTATTTATTTATTTAAAATAAAACAAAACCGCATTTTCAAGTTTTGACCAGGAAACACTGATCAGAAAAGCTTCAATTTCCTCCTCTCGGTAAACCACCGGTGTCGCCAGTAGGGGGCAGTGATGCTTCGCGCTGTCCATGTTTACCTTCCAGCAGGAAAAACAAAGAAGACAAAACGACGCACTCCATCGCCACTAGCTGTTAGCTAATAGACAAACGCAACACATCTAAATGCCTCACTAACAAAAGAAACAGTTGTGGGATAAAATCATATGCAGTGGAGGAAAGATAAGGCTTTATTAAACATTTCCTGACAGAGACCGACGCCTTCCCGACAGCATGGAGAAGCAGCTGCATTTGAACCTGTTAGCCTCTAGACCTCCTGTGGCAGGTGGTTTTCAGTCCGGCTCCAACAAGATGAAAATGGGGTGAGTTATCCAACATCTCACCGGCTGGGTCCCATCTGTGTCAGATGCCCGAAGTCGTATTAAATTTTTTATTCAGCATCACAACAGCTGGTCTCTGTCACTGACTGATTAAACTCGCATCAAGCAGCGTTAGCCAGGCTAAGTTRGCTGCAGAGTTAAATCAATATTTACCATACAGCTGATCATGTTTGCATCTAAAAAGTTTTCCTTATGTCTAGCTTTTAATGTTGACATGATTATTTAGGTTGCAATAAGTCAAACTGAAAACACAATTATGTCTAAAATATGTGAATTTTGTTTTTATTTTTGGGTCACTTTGTCTATATGAGACCAGCAAAGTTTAGTAATAGTCCTTCATGATCATTATATGATGTTTACTTAATTTTTTTATTAGTCGTTTTGTTTTCTTATCCTACATATATTAACTTAAACAAGCTCAGAAAGTAATAGACAAAGATATTTGTTTTTCCTTCTTTTCGTAGCAGTGCTGTTTCTCCTCTACTCAAGATTTACCYTATACACATGTCAGATTAGCTAAAGGGACTAATTTTCATCTGCTGTCCTGACTGATCTTGAATCAGTGTCTTCTGACTCTAAATGTGAAACAACGTCACACAACTATCATGGACACTTCATTCATCTTTTGTAGGAAATTACAGGGTCTCAGCAGCAGTTATGTGACACACAGACAACACAGCATTAAAATATGTTAATTAAAAATATTAATACTAAAACTTTAAAAAAGTGCATAAATTGCATTGAAACAATGAGGGTACAATTCAAAGCATACATATAGTATGTATTTCTACATTGCTTATTGTAGAGCTTGATGGCAGCTGGCAGGACAGACGTTTAGTCCAGCAGTGATTATTGTCAACGTTAGTTTATGTCTTAATTGTAGGTGACTTTAGGTTCCTGTGCGAGAGGCGTGGGGACACTCGCCTGGACGGATTGCAAGTCCATCACTGAGACACAGAGGCTTCTAGGGACTATTTAGAAAACCAGTGTTACTGGAGAAAACGTATTATCAAGGGGACAACATGTAAACTCCACACAGAAAGACCACAGACCGAGAGGTGAACCTGCAACCTTCTCACAGCGACACAACCACTGTTCCACTGTCTCACAACCTACTTAAATTGTGCATAAATTAAAGGCAGGGCTGCTGCTGGTTTGTTTCTTTCCCTCCAGTCAGAGTAGTTTTATAAACAGATTTCTGCTTCCGATAATCATCTTTTTCTCTGCATGACTTGTTTGTCCTTACTGGTTATGATTATGATAAGCCCAGCTTGTATGTGCGTTATTGCTGTGAGTTTGMGGTAAAGAAAAACAAAATGGTGAATTTCTAAAATAAATTCCCTGAACCTGTCAGAGAGTTGTGAGCGCTGTTGTCTGGTTGATAATCTGAAAATCTTCTAAGATATATATATTTTTGATATATTAGGAGTATAATAATATAAAGAAGTATTTCATACTTTGTTGTTTGTCTTTTAGTTTGTTGTTTTAGTTGTGACAAAAGAACTGATTTTTTTATATACAGCATTTTTTTCAACTATATTTCAGTTTTTAATTAAAAAATGACACCATATGTAACTTGTGTTTTTTAACTCTTTTTTTCCCCCACAGACCTGGGAGGAAGAGAGATTTCACCCCTTTACCTTGGAGCCACTAYTTTGAAACCATGGAAGATGTTGAGGTGGAGACTGAAAACGGCAAAGATATATCCTTGACTGATATTTTGGTTCGTCTGGAGTAAAGTTATGACAAATAGTGAGTGCTGTGCAAAACTCGTGAGTCACATTTGTTTTGCTTGAATGCGGTCAAACCTTCCTGGAATATTTAAAGTCTCAGTCTGATCAATAATGTTCCAGGATTTTCTGCCTTTTCCTCCGATTTGGATTCATTCGTTGCATTTCCTATTTATTAAACCACCAAAAGTCCTGTTGAATTGGATCTTTCAAAATTTTGGAGCTGTTAACACACTTACCTATGAGCCATTCAGGCATAAAAAGAACCCATTGGATCAACAAGTAACAAATAAYTTGACAAATAAACTTTTTATTTTCTCACATTGCAGCATGTTGTAAAACACGTCATTTCTTAGAATTTAAATGCTAAAAAACAATAATTAACATCAAGTAGTATTTTTTTTTCTCTTCCCAAAGATCTCCTGATCAAAACCTGACATTTCTGAGCAAAGTGTGCTGGGAGGTCTGAAAAAATAAATCGTAGAAAACTTAACAAACCTGACAAGTTGTTTACACAGTTTTGTTTGTTCGGCTCTGTGTTGAAGCGCTTGCACAGCTCTGGCTTTTGTTTCTTTGACTACCTGGAACATTTTCAGAATTTACTGCAGCGGCTCCCGTGGTCCTGTTCTGTTCCTGCTCCACGGAGGAGGACACTCTGCACTTTCCTGGGCAGTGTTTACTGTCAGTATAATCCCTGCTATTACACAAACCCTACAACTTCTCTGTAGCTTTGTGTGAGAAATGCACGACAGCATAGGGAGAAAAATATTTATAGAGCTCTTCTCGAGTGTGTGCTGTAAACTGTTTGATATGAATGTTGGTATTTTCAGGCCGTCATATACAACAGGATCAACTGCAGAGTCGTGGCTATGGACCTTCGAGCTCATGGTAATTATAGATCATCACAGACTGCATCATTAATTATTAAATTATAAGTCTGAATATATGACCTAATTTAGTTTGTGTGTGTTTTTCTGGTTATAACAGTGAAGAAGATCAAACTGTTATATATTAATTTCAGAAAAAGACTATGTTTATTAAAACAGCTGTAGACTAATTGTAAAAATGCGCTTTTTTCTTTGTACAGGAGACACCAAAGTTAAAAATCCTGAAGATCTGTCTGCAGACACAATGGCAAAGTAAGATTTTGTCACTTATTTTGGGTTGAAGGTTAGTTTGAAGGTGGAACAGTGATGCCGTTATTTTCAAAATTTAGCATTTTTGCTTTCATCACAAAGGTGACGTGAAATTTCTTTCACTCTGGAACCCAAAAAAACTATTTTGAGTCTCCTAAACACCATTCCTCTTTTTGACGCAATGCTAAAACATTTTGCTGTGTTCACAAAACATTGTTTTGGGCAGACAGGATCTGAGTGTTTCGTTTAATTCCACTTTTGATTAATTATTTTTGCTTTAACCAAAATCCGACTGACTCGTAAAAGCGAAGAGTAAGCGTTTATGCCTTTTTTTTTTTTAAAGGGATGTCGGCAAAGTAGTGGAGGCCCTCTATGGCGAGAACCCGCCTCCAATCATGATTATTGGACACAGTATGGGCGGAGCTATTGCTGTTCACACGGCCAGCGCCAACCACGTACCATCCCTGCTTGGTCTGTGTGTCATTGACGTTGTAGAAGGTAAAATGTTCTGTTCAGTTGCAGCATCAAAGATAAATGTTGCAAAGCACGAGATAAATGTTAAGTTTTATATATATTTATTGTTTAGGTACGGCGATGGAYGCTCTGAACAGTATGCAGAATTTCCTCAGAAGTCGACCGAAAACGTTCAAGTCCCTGGAAAACGCCATTGAGTGGAGGTAAATTGTAGATATTCTATCATGCACATGTGATTAAACTGTATTGCACTCTTCTGTGAGTTGTTATTGTTAGCTGCTGTTCTGTACTTTTTTCTTTTCAGTGTTAAAAGTGGTCAGATTAGAAACTTAGAGTCAGCCCGGGTGTCGATGGGAGGCCAAGTGAAAAAGTAAGTATTTCGTTCATTTTTTTATCTCTGCTTTTTAGGTTTTTTTACTTATATTTTACCTTCCTCTATTCGAATATCCACAGATGTGAGGAGTCCACAAGCAATCCAAGTGTAACTAATAGCATCAGTGAAGGCATCATAGAGGAGGAGGAGGATGAAGAGGCAGAGGCGGAATCAAACAAGAAAAGAATGAAGGAGGATGCACAAGAGGTATGGTGCCCTTTTCTTTCTGAGAAGACCTGTGTTTTGTTGAGAGCTGCTGAAAGAGGCTTCATTTCCTCCATGTAGGTGAAGAAGGAGAGCATCTTCACCTGGAGAGTGGAACTATCAAAGACGGAAAAATACTGGGAGGGTTGGTTCAGAGGTCTGTCTGCACTCTTTCTCTCCTGCTCCGTGCCAAAACTGCTCCTGCTCGCAGGTTYGTTGCTCATTTCCCATGTTAACCATCTGATTTTCATACAAACGTCTTCTTAAAGGTAGGGTTGGGCAAATATTGCGTTCAAATAATCATCAGAAAAACTGTCAAACTCATTGTTTTGATTTACAGAAACTAAAACTGACTAAAGTATGCACTAACTTTAACATTTAAACATTTAATTATCATAAATCTCTCAAATCTCTTTACTCTTTAGATCTTGTCTCTCCATCGTTGCCAAATGTCATTCAACTTTTATGTCTTTTTCTTCTTCCTGTCTTTCCGACTAAAGCAATTTAAATTGATCATTTAACTAGGGAGGTAATTGTTATATAAATCGGCAAATGCCACAGTTGATCGTAATTTGCCCAACTCTACTTAAAGGTGGTTTAGAGAGAATTTAAGGACACTTTTTCTTGATTTTGAAGAACATATATCATTTATTCTCCTGCTCCCCCCAAGACATTTTTTTTGTCATTAACAGCCTAGTTTCACCCATGCCTTGTTTTATTTGCACAGGAGTGGACAGGCTTGACAAAGACCTTACTATTGGACAGATGCAAGGTAAATTTAAAAAAAAAAAAACAAATGTTTTCCTTATTTCAACATTTAAATTTGTTTGGTCTAAAAACCAGTCGTGTGGTTTGTTCACAGGGAAGTTTCAGATGCAGGTCCTCCCTCAGTGTGGTCACGCTGTTCACGAGGACGCACCAGAGAAAGTAAATAGGCTTTACCTGTGCATCGTTTTCATTATTTATATTTATCTGGTTTAGTGTTTGTACAGTTTAGCCAGCTGGATCCATGTTGCTGGTTTAATAACTTGATCCTCTTTTGTCAGGTAGCAGATGCTCTTGCGACATTCATGGTCCGACACAAATTCACTGAGTTTAAGGAAGGATTTCTGTGGTGAGTAAACCTGTCAGGTTTTCTAAGGTTTGCTGACTGAATAAATAATATTTAATGTATAAAATTTTAGAGAAACTGAATCCAAACCCAGCTGACCAAAGCTTATTTTCACCATTAAGGGAGGGAATTATTCAGAACTTCACAGATGAATTAAGTTTTGATTCAGATTTGTGATGCAATTATACAGTGGGGAAAATAAGTATTTAGTCAGTCACCAATTGTGCAAGTTCTCCCACTTAAAAAGATGAGAGAGGCCTGTAATTGACATCATAGGTAG